AATCACCTGAAAATAAGAATAAAAAAAAAAGTAGCAACACAAAAAATATGTGCCACTGAATTGGAATAGAAAGTACATCTGTATTAAAATACAAACATGAATAATACCTTTAGGAAGACTCTGTAAGCAGAGTAGCTTATCTTAAATGAGTAAGACTTACCCTTTAATAAGGCAAATTTCATTTGAGAACATCCTGGGTGTGTTGAATTGAATAAAACTATTTGATTCTGGTTGGGGACATTTGTTGCATATTCTCTCTTTCTGTCTGAATCTATGCAGTAAACTAAAACTACTTATAGTTTTCTGTAAGGTTCGTCTGGTTAAAAACATCTGTCATTTTTCAGGTAATGTTGCTGGAATTGTGGCTGGTTCAGTCATTGGAGCTGCCACACTGTTTCTAATTATATTAACAATCGTACTAAGCTACAGAAAACAGAAAAGGTATGTTTTCTTTTGCATTTATAAAATCCATTAAATCATTCAGTAGAATGTAAAAAGTCTGACAGAGGTGATATATTGTATGAAAGGCAAGTTTCTCTATTAACTGTTTTTATTTTTTTAATTTCAGAAAAGCTGCACAGTCAAAAGACGATGTGATAACTGAGGCCTTCTAAACTCAATTCTTGATTTGCTGTCAACTGGAAAATGAATAGCTGTAAAATGGATACATGCATAAATATATGCTTAGATAAAGACTAAACACAGAGCAATACAGAAGAGATATCCACAGCCATGATTCAGACTTGTATATATATCATAAAACTGTGCAAAGGTCCCTGCACAGTTAAAAAGTAACTACACACTCCATCTTCCAAGGCAGACATGCACTGACTTTTGTAGGTTTAAAAATTAACCTGTGTTGTACGTTTGTTCACATCCACCATCACTCCAATGCATTCTGGGCTAGAAACAGCTTTATGTTCAGTGTAAAGGGAAAACACTTTCATTTACTTTAAGTTGGAGGACCTGTGTAAAATGATTGGTCTAAATCAATAACTGATAAAACTCCTGTCAATGTCAATACATTAACAATGCAACAGTCTAAACACTCCATTATTGTTAATATGAAATTATTGTTGTTTTGTATATTGTTAATAAAAAGTGTACTTTGGACAGCTCTTCAGATCACCTGTATATTTGCAGAAAACAGGAAAAACACTAAGATTAAATGAACTCTGCACAGTGTATGTATTGTTTGTGTATTGCCATCAAATGCTGATGAATGTTCTTATACAGTTTATCATTTTCAAATTTGTTTTTGTTTGGACAATAAATTTGTTGCATCAGCCTAAAGGCAGAGTACCACAGTTGTGTATGTAGCACACTATTTATTATGGCAAAATCAACAAATGATTGCTAATGTTTCGGCATAGTGGCCTTAATCAGAGCATGGGGAAACAATGGAAGTAATGTCATTTATATACAGGAGTTGGCAGGTGGCTAGTTGAAAGGGTCACATGATAATATATATGTACCTGCACTGACTCCTAAGTATTTTTTCAACATCCTTTTAACCCTGATCAGCCACTACATGAACAGCTGGACAGATTTCTTGGCAAAAGGGCTTAAGACATGAAATCCTTTAAATGCGGTACAGTGGATTTATAAGTGAGGCTCCACCACAGTAATGGTGGCTTGTCTACGCCAACAACCCAGAATCTACTGAATATATAAATCAAACTGGTGTTGCTAACAATAAACGTGATCACTCCAAGCATTATGTATTTATTTACTTCTGCTATAGTTACTGTAAGTCTATTGCTCAATATTTATCTGGTTAATACCTTTGACTAATTCTTTGGAAGAGCACAAATGGAAAAGCCACAGATATTGCCTTATTAATGAATACCATTCCTCTTTGAGAGCGAATGGCTTGATTTATTTCTCTAAAGCTCGGTTCATTATTTGTACAACATAACAGCCATGAAGACATAGCTCTAGATGCAAGATTCCTCACCACCACTCGACTGCGTCAGCCTTTAGGTCCATCACTTTTTCCTGGAGGTAAACATGTCTTTGACATTGAAATTTGCCCCACATACTCATCACATTTTCTTCCATCTTGTGTTTAGAAACTGCAAGTAAGTGTTGTTTACTGTGGGACTGAGAATGTACATGCTGTTCCCTCACATAACACAAGGCTGTGATTTCTATGGACAAAAGGCACCAGTATGTGACAAGACTGCAGAGGCCACTGCTGAATAAACTGTCTGCTTGCTGCTTCCAGAGTCATTCAATAACAACTTGCCACAGACACTCCAGAGATATAAATACAAATAATTAGCATTGTCCTCTCCAGGTCCCGGGGCAACAGAGGAGTAACACCCCAGCTCATGACATACCAAGTCATTCTCACCCCTTAGATCACACTTAATGCTGGACAAGTGTTAAAATGAATCAGCTGGGTATATAAAGTGTGTGAGTGGAGCATTACAGATGCCAAATCAGCCTTTTCCTCAGACCTCCTGCTCACTTTCTGTTGAGGATATAAAACACAGCTGCCCTATTGTTTAGTGTTCAGGTCATCAATCTAGACTTGTTTGTCAGGGTGGAGCTACAGGCTTTGCAGTTTCAACATCATTTTCCCTTATTCTGAGCTTATTCTCTAGGATATGGGTGAACAAAATAAAATATTATCCCGTCCCATTTTCCGTCGAGATGTGAGTTGGGATCCTTTCCCAAACTGGACACAGCCGAGTCGCATCTTTGCACAGGATTTTGGCCTCCCTCCTTTCCTGGAGCCTAGTGATCTGGACTGGATAGACTGGGCAAAGAGGAGACTGGGATCTTTCTCCTGGCCTGGGTACACACAAACTCCCCTTCTGCCTCCATTCAGTGGTCAGCACCCTGCGGCGTTGAACCAAAAGGGTCTGAGACAACTGACAAGTGGAGTGTCAGAGATCCGAACAGGACAGGACAGCTGGAAGATTAACCTGGATGTCAATCACTTCTCGCCTGAGGAAATTACAATCACAACCAAGGAGGGTTACTTGCAAATATCAGGTATTCTGCACACACCTCTCTGGTTACCCACAAGCTATTTGTAAGATGTGAAAGAAATCATTTGACAAGTAAAAGCATAATAATAAGTAATTGTAACTGTACTACGTACACAGACTAATCTAATCATCATTATTTTGACAGTTTTTAAATTATTTTGTTATTTCTTTACAAGGAAATCACGAAGAAAGGCAGGATGAACATGGATCTGTTTCACGGTGCTTCACCCGAAAATACAAGTAAGTTGTCTCTGAGAACATGAAGAATGAAAAAAAATGTAATCCTTATAATTTCAGATCTCATTGTTGTGTATTAAACTTCCTCTTCATTTATTTAAGGCTGCCACCGGGGGTGGACTTGCAGCACATCAGTTCGTCGCTGTCTGGTGATGGAGTTCTGTCCATAGAGGCCCCGGCCCCTGGGACATCCGTCAGTGACCCTATCAATGAGATTGTCATACCTGTTCAGATCAGACAGAAACAGGACGGGGAAAAGTGAAACCAGTAAGCAGAATTTGAAACTTAAGATGTAGCAACCTTTGTAACACTGGCAGAAAAAATAAGTCTGTAGTCTGTAGTGTAACGACAAGCTTGTTCTCCTGCTATGAGATACTTTCTAATACTGTTTAATGCATTGTCATAAGGGTAGTACCATGTCACCATTACTTTTGGTTTCAAAATAAAATGCAGACTCATCAATATGACACAGAACTGACTCTGAAAATAAGGAATTACTTTTGCTAGTCAACACTTATAATTAGCACAACCTTGTATTCTAAGAATTTACCACACTTTTTCCATGCACTTATAATGTCTTCAGTATTTAAAAAAAAAGACAATACTGGCCGAGGATGGACAGTGCACTACAGGTTTAATTGTACTTGATAGCAATTGACTATATATGCCTAAACAGCTTATTTACGTACTTATTTTAAAAAAGGAATGTACATCAAAAAGGGATTCTGTGTAACATGGTGACAAAATAGAAAAACAAAATTTTTTCCATGTTATTTTGAGGAATACAAACACTGTAAAGGCTGTAGCTTCTATTGTGTTTTGAATAACCACCCTAATGAAGCTGTCCTGACATCATGTAATGTTCACATAAATGTATTAAACAGCTTCTGCCACGTGAATTAAAACGAATGTGGTTTCTCTACATTTGTGGTGTCTTTCATTACTGATGCATTTGTTAGCAGATTAGAGGATCAACAGGAAGCAGTTTAATCTGTATCGATTATTCATCCATTGATCTATTTCTCATGGCTTGACAAAATGTTGGTCAAATGGTCCACAAGATGGCGATGATGTCCACTTCATTGTAATGTTTGGATTTCCTCTGAGAGACAGTTTTGTTGATAGTATTTAAGTTAATTTTATTCTTTTTTTGTAGACCTTCATAAAAAATTCCCCCAAAGCTGTTAAAATTTCATAACATGAATAGACTTTTTTCACAGCAGCCATTCTCACATGACATAGTAGGCTAAACACAGGTGTTACCAATTATACTAATTAAGGCTCTGTTCCATTTAATATAGTAGAGCCTTTCCAGTGAGCCAACATGCACAATAGCAGCACCCTGACCCTGTTTGACCTGAATGGAAAGAAACCTTCATTAGTATCACTGGTCACACCTGTGTTTACCCTACTATTTCATGTCAAAACGGCTGCTGTGAAAAGGGTCTATTTCCTAAAAGGTTTGCTATTAACACATTTCGTTAAACATTATATATTTAACCAACTTACTGTGGTCAAATGTGATCTTCTACAAGACGTGATGCCAAATGTGGATGCAATGCAATGGGGGCTAAAAGGGTCAATAGTAAAAGTCAGGTGCTACACTGATCTGTTGAAGGCCAAACAAAAGCCAGCAGTGATATCTAGTGCTTGAACTGGGTATTACAAGTTCATGTATCTAAGTATCTAAGCAGCGTTGGCAGTAATTGTTGAAAATATAGAAGCCATAGTGCAAAAAGAAATAATTTCTTATTCTGACTATTGCTTTTTGGTGATTGTTAATTAGTTTAATTTGGGATAAAAGCAAAACAGAATATATATTTTTTCCTTATTTCATTCATTTCTTTCTCTTCATCTCAGTTATTAGTTATTAGTGTCCGTTTAGACAGAGAAAAGCTTAAAATGTCTTGAAATCATCCCATCTCAGGCCTCAAACAGTGCTCAGTGTAAAGCAGAAGACCCCAACACCACCCAAGACATGTTTCAACCACATATAAAGTGGATCAGCCAAGTTCCCAATATGACACGATCTATACACTGTTTGGTCTTTAGATAGTCAAGATAAAATGGGATTCATTCATTTTATTATTAAGATGATAAAAACTAATAAATGCTGTAATTTGAAGCTTAAATATCATACGGCAGGAAGAACAATGTTAAACCACAGTTCCTGCTCATATACTCAACAGCAGACATAAGTGAAATACATAGTAGGCTTAGCCGCCTTACAGCAACACAAACTGTTTTTGAGGTGTTGCTTTAGGTCAGGTAGCTAAGTGCTAGGTGGTTGCTATGTGGCTCCAAGAGTGTTGGATAAGTTGCTACTGTATGCTGAGATAAGCTTGTAGCTAGGTGGTTGCTATGGTGTTGTGAATGTCTGACAGGGCATTTTCAGGTAGCTGCTAGCTGGTTGCCAGGATTGCACTAGGTGGTTGTAAAGTCGTTGCTAAGGTGTTCCACGCGGTTTGCAAATGGTCGGTCGGCACATGAGCTGGTTAAAAAAAAAAAAACAATTGTCGGGCTGCATGGACGCGAATATGTACTTGAGTGTGTTTTGTCTTAGTAGTGCTTGTAGTAGCACCAGCAGTAGCGTGATGACAATGCATTTGATACGTTGAGATGTATTCAGCACCATGGACAGAGACTGTATTTAAATGTTTGTCTCTGTCGCCCTCCAGCGGCCATGTGAAGTAATGATAACTATTTGCTTCATTATTATCAAATATATCAAAATACAAGTATAATGTTTACAGTCGACAGAGGAAAAAAGGGACGCAGATAAATTTTCAGAAAGGAGTGGTGAAAATGAATAATAATAATAACAACAATGGCAACAACAACAATAATATGTAATAATAATAACAACAATAATCATATATTTTTTTTTTTTTTTACATAAGTCGGCATTGTTCTTACCATATTGTTAATTTAATTAGTGATATTTATCATTTCTAAAAAATGATCTTGTGACAGAGTCTAATGGTAAATAACTTTAGGCTTGTTGAGATGTGCCTGTAGTATTGCGGTGTCTCTTTAAAGGAAGGGGGAGTGTAAAAGAGGGACAGAGGAAAGAGATGAATAGAAGGCACCAGAACCACCTACCATGACCAAGTGCGCTGTAAATGTAGGACAGAAATTCGAGTGGAATACAAACGGATCATCAAGCGACATATTCGAGGGAAAACCATGTTTGGATGTGCCTTATCTGATTCAAATATTTTTAAATATGGTACCACATGCGATCATTGGAACACAGGAAAAGTATTTTTCCTCCCAAACATTTCTGGCATTTTGAAACGGAAAAGGAGAGTGGCAGTAAAATACACCCCTGTGCTATCTTTCTCCGATTATCAATGGTAGGCATTGCATAATTCACCCTTATCCACCGGAGCCATTTGGTTCCTCCTCTTTGGGAAGAGGGGGACGCCAGAAAAAAACGACTACATCCAGTAGCTGCCTCCTCGGTGGTGCCTGCAATTGTTTGGCAATGCCCTTTTCTCTCTTAGGAAGAACTTGCAGACAGTAGCGGGGGAACAAGCAGGGGAAGGATGCATTTAAAGCTGGATGTGTGCTGCATTCAGGGAGATTCGGCAATAATAGCAGCTCTAGCAGAAACAGCGAGTGCGGCGGGCCTGGGAAGCACCCAGCCCCACTATCTCCTCCTTTTCCTCCCCCCCTGCAGGACCATGCTTGCGTGAGGGATGAGGCTGTGCACAGGGACACCAGGCCAGAGCTGCGGCCTACTTCTCACAAGAGCCGGTCTCTCGACTGCAAGATCTGTGAACACATTGCCACCATCAAATCAGCATCTTTGGTACGCAGCTCCCTCTCTCCTCCGTTTGCATAAAAAAAAAAAAAAATACGCGTGTGTGCTCGCGCGCGCGCGTGTGTGGTGTCAGTGTATGTGTGCGTGTATGCGTGCTGGCGGCGGGGGGTGAGGAGGGGAGGGAAGGGGTGTCTGTGTTCTCAGCTGTACATCTGTAGTCATGGCAACCAGATCCTGTTAATGGATGTCATTTTTTCCATCCTCAGCTTCCCTCTCTGCCTCTGCTTTTATGTGTGTGCATTGCATTTATATGTATTCCATATAAATCTCTGCCGGGTGTCTACTATCGATGAGATTTAGCTTTTGTCACACTGTAAATGATGCATCTATTAGCATGGCAGTCTTAAATAGCCTTTTCACAGATTGGTCTGGTGCCTAATAGTGGCATCATATAAATACTTATTTATCAGAAATGGTGCTGAAGTGATGATTGATTAATTTATGCTGCCTTATAATATCAAGAGCTGATTCTAATCAAGAGTGTGAATGGGATTAATCAGCTGAGCCTCTGTATATTGATGAACTTCCTCTTTTGTGTGACACTGATGCTGAAAGACACTGATACTGTTAACCCTAAAGGATTTTCAGACTTCTGTATTATTTATCAACTTGTTGTTCAGTTCTTGGGTTACTGTGCATGTGTAGTAATCTTCGAACTGATTACTTTTCAGCTTGCAGAATTGTTGTTTGCACTGTACTGTATGTGGTCTGTTCTTAGGCCATAGCCTCTGACTTATCAGCTGTTTGTGTCTGTTTCCAACATAGCAGTTGTTTCTCTCTTCCTGCCCCATTTCTTTTACTTCCTGCTTCCTGTGTTCCTCTGTCCAGGTCATCAGGTAGATCCAGGAGCATGAGCAGGACTTTGAGCTGCGGGAGCAGATGTCTGGGTATAAGCGCATGCGGCGGCAGCACCAGAAGCAGCTGATCGCCCTGGAGAACAGGCTAAAGGCCGAGATGGATGAGCATAGGCTCCGGCTGCAGAAGGAATTAGAGACACATGCGAACAACACTTACATTGAGCTGGAAAGACTGGCCAAACGCCACGCTGCTCAAACAGACAAAGAGGTACAGCCTCAACAGCAGGTGTTCTTATGAATGAGGTGGAAACTACAGAGTTATTTAATTCACCTCAAGCTAAACTTGTGTCTGTGCAGGCATTTGTGTCAGTTAGGAGATCAATGAGGGGTGATAATTTGAATATTTTAATGTCTCTTCACAGATGAAGTCAGTTGCAGCTGAAGAGAGAAGGATCCAGCAACAGATTGTTGCTCAGCAAAAGAAAGAGCTGACTACTTTCTTGGAGAATCAGAAAAAGGAGTACAGGCTTTGCAAAGACAAGATCAAAGAAGTAAATATAAGTTTATGATCTTATTTAATTATATCTGTTCAATATGGAACACATGAAGATTGTCTTCAGATAATACACATTCTTTTCACTCTGTTCTGTTGTTTTTGTGTTTTTTATTTGTGGGTGTGTTGTAGGAGATGAGCGAAGACCCTTGTACACCTAAGGAGGAGAAGCAGGAGCGTTTGTCCAGGCACAAAGAAACAATGCAGCGCTCTCAGGCTGAGGAGGAAGCTCATCTGCTGGCCCAGCAGAGGCTGGTCTACGACCGGAGCTGCAGGGCCCTCAAACGCCGGAGTCTGGTCAGGAGGCACGAGTTTGAACAGGAGCAACTAAGGGAGGTAATGTGACATAATGTCTAATCAGACGATGCAGACAACCTTAAAATTGATTTTCAGAATTCTAGATATGACTGTTGGCATTTTCAGAATATGTTCCTACAACTAACTAAGATAATCCTACAACTAACAATTTTCATTATGAAGTGTTCATTATTTTATGTTTATTTTAGGCACTGGTGCAAGTGATTTCTTTAAACTGCTTCTCCAAAAATTCAAGGGGTATTCCATTTATATTCCTATTCATATGAAACATTTCCTTACACTAGGAGCCTGGTACCAACAAAGATTTAGGATTTTAACTGAATGTAAAACAACATTTCCACAGTGGGAAAGGGTCTTAAGAAGGTTGTAAACATTGTGACCTTTAATACAGCCCATGTTATGCTT